TCTCTCTCTCTCTCTCTCTCTCTCTCTCTCTCAAGCTATAATTACTTACTATTAGCATTTTTTCAAAATGTTCATTTTTCAAAGATTTCTAATTTGGCTGCGTTCCAAAATTCGTTGTCAGTACTGAAAATCTATAATTCATGTTACGTATATTATAGAATTTCAGCACTGGCAGTAAATTTCGGAACGCAGCCTTTGTTTAGATAAGTGAACTGCCCTAGTGTAGCGTTGTGGTGCACGCTGACATGCGTATACAGTTCTGACTTAACCGCCGTTGAGACGTGTTCAAACACGTTTGGATCGTGATTATTTCCTCGGACGTTCCTCGGCGTTTTCCAAGCCTTCCCCTCGTATTGACTGCATTGGTGAAAGGGCCGCAAAAAAAAGAAGTGAAACCAGTAAGAGAGAGAGGGAGAGAAAGAGAGAACATGCTATTAGTACATGTTCACGCAGGCTGATCTTGCGCAGTTTACACTATAAACTTTATATCAAAAGAGATTCTGAGCTCAGTCTATTGTGGCGTTGTCTTTACGTTATTCCGATGAGTAAAAAATAATTCTTATTGGATTAATGGTGTCAGGGCTGATGTCTCTCTGATCGCCTTATACCAATGGTGAACAAGCGGACAATTATTATAATTATTCTGAGATATATTAAGTCTATTCCTTTGAAGTTACAAAATATAAAATTTATATATAAAATAATTATATTTTTTTGTATGTAACTAAGTTGCATGCACAGGATGATATGATCTTATATAGTGTACCTAGTCTATTTAAGTCTATCGTCATTGTATCTAAGGGTTTATCCAGATCTATCAATTTAGATTTAATTCTGTCTATTGCAGCATTGTCTTAAATTTATTCCGATAAGTACATAATTAATCTTATAATTAATCTTAAATATTATGTCTATTTCCTTGAAATTACAAATTATGAAATCTTAATATAAGCTTTTATATACAAATAATTTGCATGTACAGGTTAATGCAGGTTAACATAATCCTACATAATCTACAATAGCTTCTATTTGTCTATCGTCATAGTATCTATCCAGAAATATCAATTCAGAGCTTAGTCTGCAGTATTATCTTATTCCAGTGAGCACACAATTAATATTATAATTATTCTTAAACATTAAATTAATTATTTGGAGGTTATAAATGATGAAATCCTACAATTTTTTTATATGCACACACAAGTAAATTTATATTGAAATTTGTTTAACATTTGTTACAGTATAATACCTGTGTGAAAAGTATAAAAAATATTTTCGAAAATATGAATAATGCACGAAAATTTGTTTCAAAACGTCAGGCTAGACGCATTATTGCATATGAAACAAATATAGATCTTGCAGGAATTTCTGATCAAATTGTAGAATTGTCTACTGTCAACACTTACTCAACATATTATAATAATTTACATTTGCATAATATTGACAATAAAAATAGTTATACATGTAATATACATAGCACTAACAAAATGGCTAATGTGTTAATAAATAATGATGTTACATTGTTACAAGATAATATTGATGAATGTCAAAATAGTATTGTCCAAATAAATAATGATTCACATAATTCTATTTTAGAAGACATACATAGCACTAAAGAAGTTCAAGAGAATGTTAATGATGACAATCAATTTAAAAAAGTTATAGCTACATGGGCCATATTACATAATATTCCTCATAATGCATGTAATGCACTATTACAAATTTTACAGCAATATACATTGTATAATGTACCTATAGATATACGAACTTTGTTGAAAACTCCAAGAAAAACTGATATTGTGTCAATATGTGAGGGAGGGGAATATTTTTATCTAGGTTTGCATAAAG